CGCCACTACAGCCTCTACCTATTCCTGCAGAGTGCTTGCAGTGCGTTTTAATGGAATTTCTTTTCGGGAAACCCGACGATGCTTACAAGAATATGGTATCGTAGTATTTGTTGATAACTTCAGCGACGGTACATCTTGCTGCCATTAGGGAGTCAATCAAAGCAAAGGGCTTTGCCCGTGTCTTCATTGACACGGTGTTACGACTTCAATATCTGACCCGTGAACTAGTCTTTAATATAGACATTCGATCCACGGCGGCGCTTTGGCAATCCGTTTTTATCCCTCGGAACACGTCTGACTTTGTCTGCCTCTGACCATTCCGAGGCAGATAACCAACAGAACGCATCAAGCGCGTCCTGAAGGAGTAAGGGTGAGGATGCGTCCAATCTGTCATAGATTGGTGCGATCCTCTGCCGATAAGGGAGTTTGCAATCAACAACTTCGTGCATGCGTCGACAACGCTTACACAGTTTATCGTGAGCGTCTTACGCCATCCACGCCTACCCACCTGTTTATAGTGGGACCTATAGTTTAGGGATGGGGGGGTTCGCTCAAGCGAAAACCGTCCTGGATCTTGCTCATCACGTGTCAAAGTACTCGACGACGCGACCGCTGCCGATGCCGATCAAATCGACATCGTAGAAGATAACATCAGTAATAGTGATGACGCTAATGCTGACCTAGACGAGGACGATAATGATGGTATATTTATCATCGATAATGACTACGCCAGCGAGGCTGATGACATCCTTGACGAAGAATAGGGACAGCTCTTAGCAAAGCACACCAAGCGCACTGATAAAACACAACAGAGTCAGCAGAAAATGTTTTGTTGACTCGAGCAGCAGTTGCACATTTCGTACAAGATTTTAATCGCTAACGTGGTAGATCGGAAGGAACGGAACCTTCGTTCCTGCCGATCCGCTGACCAACATGGAAGAGCAAACGTTCTTTTATTTAATGTTTAAGACTTAGGTCTACTGTCTACAGTAAACCTACCTAAGCACGTAGTTATCATATAGTGTAGTATTAAACTAAAACCCAAGTACATTGGCCCGTTTTGTAGACTACATCGCAAAATGCAACACGTACACAATCTAAATGCGTCGCAGGATGTGTGCGAATCCTACGTCTTTTTATGTCGGCCATATCCGCCCATTCTATCATCACGAGGTCTCTTCATCGGGCGAATGCACCTGCCACGTTTTAAAAGCTTCAATAAATTCTTTTGTTCCCGAGCCAGTATCTCAATCTCTATCTGTAGTGCCGTTTATTAGCGACGAATGTCAGACACTTCGTCTCGAAAGGCTTGACGCATCCGCTCGTTCTCCAATTCGTGGAACACAAACCCCTCTCGGTCATTCGACAAATGAAGGCGGAGAAGTTGCATTCACGCAGCAAACGAGAGACTCTTCTGTCTCTCTTGATTGGCGCAATTAAACAGATCACGTAAAATTGTTGTACACGATCCAGCTCCGTCTAAACATCCGATAAATATTTTGGAGCTAATCTTTCCGTCTCCATCACAGCCGTTGATGTACTTGCAAGGAATTCAAAGCTTTCAGGTGGAGCGTATCTTGAACCACCGCGACCTGAAGGGGCAGCGAACGAGTTATCTTGTTCGCTGGCGCGATTATACGCCATCGCACGACAGCTGGGATCCTCGCACCCAGATGATGGTCTTCGATGAGGGTCTTGTCCATCAGTACGACGGGACACATCCGATTAATTAACGATTTCATCGGAGAACTCTCGCCCATAGCGCTGGCAGAGCGATTGCAGGTTATCTATTGCATAGCGCATCTCATAAGAGATGTGCGCCCTACCCCCAGGGAAAAGAAAGGGAGTACACATCCTCTTGTATATGTAATGTGTTGTCGAAACAACACGGACATGATTCGTCTCTCGTAAGGAATGGAGTTCCTGCCTCACGAGGCAGATAGCGCAACCTTTCTTTGCACCAGTTCGAGGTTAGGTTCTCAAAATTAATACGAGCTGGTCATGGTTTCGAAGTCAGTCATCACGAACGCTTGATTATCTGCACATTGAGCATGAAAGTGTTCCACGCCTGCAGCAACAAGCTTTTTCTCGCTTTTTGTTGCCGCTATACCAAAGATGGTGAATGAAAGCATCCACATAGAAGTCTTCCTTATCGCGGAAGTTGTTTGCGCTGAAGTCGAGGCCGTGCAATAAATTTGCATAGAATATTGAAACTCGATGATTAAGATTTGTCTCGCCAGACGGGTCATTCACAAGCCTTTCTGGTAATACTTAAGACTTGTATTCATAGGCTGGACGCAGCACATTACCGTCCAGAGCCTCTATAGATTTTACCAACGGAAGTCTTGACACCACTACAATCGTCATAACGACGTTGCAAAATATCAACGCATCAGCCAGGAAGAGAATGCGCAGTAGCAGGCGCAGAAAATGAGTCAGAATACCCATCATCCAAGATGAACAGGCTCTTGTAGCGACCGCGAGCCTAACTACCCGCTCGAGTTTTGTCGAATGCTCGTACTCGGTCGCTTTTTAAGACTCAGGCGACCTAGACGTCTTCTTCGAGAATAACCCCGTCCGACTTCCCCGAACAGATGAGCTCCGCCTGGGAACCGTTATCATCATTAGCACGTGGTGACACAACACGTTTCTCTGCAGCAACTGGTGCTGTAGGAAGAGTTACAGCGGCGGCAGACTTAGCATCTTCTGCCACAAGAGGCTAGGTATCGTCAAGAGCAGCTGCGTTAGCACGCGAAACTGCCTTCGCAGCAGCTTTCGCCGCTGGCCACATGTAGTTTTTCACCATGCGATGAAGATCCAGAAATAAATGGATCGGATCAAAACAAGTGCCCCACGTCCCCGATGTGGTCTATCAATGACTAGATCAACTTGAAGTGATTGAATGAATATCGCTTAAGGGGGGGTGAAAGAACGGAATAAGCCTGTAACATGTAATTAACCCTTAATTCTTGTTAATTTGAGTATTATTATCATAAAGGCTGATAACGTTCGTTAATATTACCAGAAGGGGTAATATTCAGAAATACTCATCGATTGGCTGGCATGGGCCATCATATCAGCCACCTCTAGCGGTCCAATTAATGATGGACGCGCGCAATGAGTGGTGAGCAAGTCTTTAGCATGCACTTTTGTAAACGAAAATAATGAAGCTAGGGCCAAAACATGAATAAATGATTAAAATTTAATTATATAGAATGTAGTTACTTTACCAGCAATTAGTCAGTTTTCCCAGTTGTTTTGCTTTCCATTAAATTTCTTACAGAGGTAGCGAGGTACTGCTTACTTTGCGATCGATGATAGTAATTCCACACTAGTTGTACACAGTGTTGCTCCGGTGCTCCGTTCCAGATAAGGTACATGTAGCGGAGCTACTCAGCGTTCATTAACAGAGAAAGTCTTAGACTCAAAGAGTCTCTTAGTTATAACAAACTAACAACGACGTACAGTCGTTCAAGCGTACAAGCTCAATGTAACGGGGCACCCTGAAGCTTGGACTGGTGACAGTACAAGCTACTTATTATGATGACAGAATAAGACGGTGCCTCGGAACCTCACGTACACTCGTACGTGCAGAGGAAGACGGTAAGAAGAAGCGAGTACTTGGTTAGAGTAAAAAGTATAACTGTATTTATCATAGTTAATGTCTGCAATAAATCACTATTTATCTTCATCTAACTATGTCTAAATACAAATGTGTAAATCAACTATCTGCTCACCACTCATTGCGTGCGTCTGTCGTGGCGCGTCTTCGTTGGTTGATATAATGGCCTATATCAACCAATCAGGAACTACTCGTAAGTGCTACAGAATATTTGTCCTTATGACAATATTCTAAGAATGTAACTCTGATATTTATATTCGATTAACAATTTCTTATAAATTGTTATGTAACGATTCACCCCGTTACACTCAACAACTCCGGTTCCAAAAGGATAACGTTTCAATGAGTCGCACACTAACTGGTCACTACTAGTTAAACAAGAGTAAGCGCCTTGACAAGTCCAGTGCTCTTAACAATTCACTACACCTTGTCTAGGCACTTGTGTTCAACTACTCAAAGGGGAGGTAATATTTAATTATTATTTAACTACGGTAACAAAACAATGAAACCTTGTCGGACTGACTTCTACATTGGATCCTATGACAGAAGTACTATCTCGAATCCCTAACAGATAAGGTGCGGTATTACCGTAAGTAAATGTTACCAATACTTTATCACTCAGATCCATCGATCTTTACTTGGTGTGGACACACAACATAACCGGTTTCAAAAACCGCCGTGTAACCTCGTCACAGTACGCCTAACCGCGTTATTTACAGACAGGCACACACACAGATAAGTACGGTTTAAAAGTTCGGTATCAGATCTTACGCACACTCGCGAATACTCAACCCTTCAGGCTCGCAATCACATATACAACTTGGGACTAGATATCACATATCCAGGGTATATCCATCCCTTTTGATCAATAACAGTCGTGTGACCCCCTTCCATCCATGGTTGTCCCGTCTTGTAACGACATGGACAGCTCCCCATCGCCCGTCTATGACCGTTTCTTCAATTATGACCCGCTTTGCCGACGCCATCTGGATTATTACTAACTTCTCGCCTCTAGAGTTCAGTGCTCTCTTGTTCACTATGGTCGAGTCGTCAATGAGCAGAGTGTGGCGGAGATAGCTGGATCAAATATACATCATAATTTGAAAGCTGTCTCAATTATTAACCATCTTTGGTCGATCGGCGTGCATAAAACACCATAAAGGTAAAACTTCAGCTTAGTGTAGTAGCTGCTGCAGTATCTGTTAGCTGGTCGGTCAGTTTCTGACGTCAAGCCCCTTTCTTGTAAAGAGGACCTGCGCGATGTTGTCAGCGATAGAGCAAAGCGGTCTATGACAATCCAGCCCGTGCAACCTGGACCATCATTTGCTACACTTCTTTTGCTGAAGTCACACCCATAGCCCCGAACTTGTGACAGCGAATGCTTGTGCTCGACCCGGCAGACCGAAGCCCGGTAGATCACAGATTGGGATACGCCACCTATCGTCGCTGCACAACTTGGAAGACGAAGCTGTTGCAGACCGTGTTTCTTTTGCTTTGACTTTAAGATAGAAGACCTTACCGAGTCTCGGCTGAAGGAGCTGATCGATGAGTATGTTTGCGTGGTTGAATTGCCGCCAGAGTTGGATCCAAGATTGTTCACGTCATTGTATCGCAAAGAGATTCGCGATTATCCTGAGATCTCGTACAATCTGCATTTGGGCTGCTCCTACCGGCTAGGCGACTATGTCAAGGTTGATTCTGAGACCAAGGTCAGTTGCTACTGTCACCGCAACATTGCAGTAAATCCCTGGTACTGACAAAATGTTACCGTTGCACGTGCAATAACTTGGCAACACCCACACACGGGGCTAAATATCGTCGGATGTGCTATAGAGACGCATGCAAAGGCAAGAAGCGCCTAAAGCCGACGTCCATCAACAAGGTACAATATCGATATTGGAATGCTGCATGTCAGCAACTTATCTCGACGTTCTCGATGTTTATGCAGCAATCACTTCTTGCGATCGTGATAGTTTGTCCACGGACCACTACCCTTGGCGTAGAAGTCCATCGGATATGAACCTTCTCTCCACCGAGTTCGCTCAAAACACACTTCTGCTTCGTAAGCAGTAAGTAGTGGCTGACGACGATGATACGACAATGCCAATTCGTCGTTAGCATATAACGCAAACCGCAAAACTACTGCAAGTCACGCACCTTCGGAAACGCGTAGCCCCAATCAATCGAAAGTCGCGGACACGCAATCTGGATCCACGCATCAACGTCTTTGAACTGTGCAAGCTGTTCATCAAACCGACGGATGCGGTCAAAAAAGCTCGTGAAGCCACAATCACTCGCTAGGCACTTACCTTGTCGGGAAAGAGCTCGGACAGAAGAAGCACGAAATACGTCTTTCCGCTTTGTTCAAGCAACTGCTTCACGTGGTCGAGAATCAACGGATTACCCTGACGCCCAAGAGTCCCGAGCACAACCCCAAAATTCTTCGCCCCCCTGGCTTCATCAATAGCAGCTCGACGAATTGTCATCATCTGCGGGAGATCGTACTTCTCGAGCGTAAGCAGTTTCGGGTAGGGGTCATAGCGGTACGCTTTCAGGCTCGGGTTCATGATCATGGCCGACTGACGAAAACATGAACATGTGAGATAGGCAGGAATTGAGTACGACTCTTGCTCACAAGACAAACCTCGAGGTGAAAGCGGCCATCGGCGATAAATACGAGAGCATCAGCTCCCTCGATGACGGGGGAAGTGCAGCCCAGCACCTCGCCAGGGGATAGTGGCTTGACCTGAGGCACAACCATACTTGTAAAGTAGTCTCGAAGCCTTGAAGCAATGAGATGAATGGAACTGCTGAACTGGATCGTTCCCATCAACGCAAGCTGCACACACAAACAAGAAGACCAATGAACACAACGTTTGCGCGAAATGATAAAGTAGAGGTGGAAAAGAGCAAAGAAACGTCGTCACAACCTTGGTGTCCGCGGCGAAAGTCAGCTTCATGCAGTCGACGAGCTGCGATACGAGGCAATCAACATGTAGACAACGTTATTGCGCACGAGGGAGTGACGTATATCACCGTTGCCGGCCACCACCTACATGATCAACGTCAATAGCAATATCCACGAACACGTAAAGCATTTTGATCGACGTGACGTCAATAGGCACGAGACAACTATGGCCATAGTGCACCATGAAGTCTGCCCCTAGCGCGAGCGCGCTGAGGTCATCCACGCAACAAGCACCGTATGTAACCTGCATGATACGCGACTTCGTTATCACAAGAATGCTGCAACACTGCCTCTTGGTAACAAACGTACGTCGCCGAGAATAATGCTGTCAGCTCCTGTAAACCGCTCGACAATGTCGGAGATGACGCAAGCGTAAAGCAGCAGGCCTTCGGGGAACTGCAGCGCCACACGCTTGCTCCCAGCTTGACGAATCCGCCACACTGTTTTGTGGATCTCAAAGTTATAATTCCACGGCAGCTGTACAAAAAGCAAAGCAGCAATCAGAATCAAGTCTCTTGCCCTGCCCACAAGATCTCAATCCTCGAGACCAACCTGCTCGATCGCCTTGGTCAGCTCTGTGTTCTTTGTAATCTCCTCTGGAATCTGATTCGCCATACGACGCACCAGAGCGGCAGCCGAAGGGTTTCCGCTTCGTCTTGACCGCGACGACTTCTTTTGACTCGCACGTACTAATCGATAGATCACGTCAACATTATTGCTACATCCGTCGTCTGTTGCAAGTCAATGTGCGTCGTGCGTACCCATTGAACTGGCAGTCACCCTGGCTGGACTCAGCGCACAGGCGCTTACATGCACCATCGTCTTTGGCGGGTTTGCTCTGGCCTGAGAAGCGCGGCGGGCTCGCAACTGCAGCGGTCTCGGTCGTCTCCATTCGAGTTGCAGCTTTGGCTTTCAACCAATCGGTCGATGGCTACACTTTTTGACAGGCATCGGACGACAACCTGCAAGATCATGCTGCTGCTGCGACATGCCACGGAGCTCTAAAAATTGCACGAGTCCACAAATGGTCAAGAAAAACGCTTTTTTTCGTTTCGAAGTCGGCAGCGTCCTGAGGAGGATGTCGCAATCTCCCTGTCCTTTCTCTTTCCACGCTTCCCTAATCCGGAAGCGTCGATTGGTGCACTGGAGTCTCTCTGCCGAACAAAGACGAGCCAGCGTGATGGGCTCGAGCCAATCCGCAATCACAACGCCATGAGCAAATCACGCTTTTTCTCTCTCGCCTGAGTTCTCTATGCTGTCGTACCCTCTCCCAGCTTCTGCCAAACACGATGACTGGCTCGCCAAAAAGTCACTCACGAATTCGCGCTTACGTAAACGCGACTGACAGTTTCGCGACCACCTTCTCGTAATCACGCCTTGGCCATCAAGCAAACAAGAAGGTCAGTCAACAGGAGCTCGTCCAGCGGGCCAATCACCCACCCACCCACCCATCCACACGCACCCGCTGAGACGATGGACGCGTTCCACAATCTATTTCGCGAGGCCGCAAACCCGCGCCAAAATCCCAACGCCAGCAGCTCGTCCCCGCTGCGGAGTTCCGGCAGTCTTCTCCCGAGTTCCAGTGGAGGCCACTCAATGGGCATGACTCCCCCCCAGCTCAGTAGTAGCAATGCCCGGAACGGCATGGGACTGCCTATGGGCATGGGCATGTCGCTGTCCATGCCTGGTCTGCAGACCGTCAGTAGCAACGGCCTGGCACCTATCCACGGCGGTCGGATGAGTTCACAAATGGGCACGGACTCGATGTTGTTCCCGAGCTTGGGCAGTACGACCTCGATGACTGTCCCCGGTGGCGGGACAGGATCTAGTGCTAGTGCTGCAACTGCGGCGATAGCTTCTAGTCTTGCAGCTAAAGAGAAGAAGACGACGAAGAAACGCAAAGCTCCGAGCGGAAACGTGGAAGGGGAGTCAGGCGAGGACGGCCGCAAGCAGCCCGAGGAGTTTGAGGATCCCAAGGCAAAGCGACGTGCTCAGATTGCCAAAGCTGCGCGGAAACACCGACAGCGTCAGAAGGACGAGCTTATTGCCTTGCGAGCCAAGGTGAAGGATTTGAAGGAGCAGATTGAGGTGCTGCAGTCGTCGGAACCATCGGAACACAATACGGAGCTTGGCTGGAAACAGGAGGCCGAGCAGCACGCTGAGATTCGCGCGCGCGTGGACCAGGAGAATGAGTTTCTGCGCAAGACGTTGATGGAGCAGATGAAGTTTATCCAGCGATTGCAGGACTACTTTACCAAGCAGCCGTTGCTCAACATGCCGTCGTTAGACATGATTTTGAATTCTTCGACGTCGGCTGCGACGACTCCGACGGCACTGTCCAACGCGATTTCGGCGGTGCCATCAGTACTCCAGCTGCAGTCTGGTTCGTTCCGTGATCGGCTGATTGATATGACTTCAGATGCTACGATGATTGCGGACAAACAGCTTACAGCGTGCGAGGCGGCTTTCCGCAACCCGAGGACATCCACTATGACGTACTTTGGTCTGCAGGTTCAGTACGAAATGGGCAAGAACGAGATGGGCATTTACTTCCGCCACAATCTCTTCGGCTGCACCGCGACCGTCGTGATGAACGATTTGTGGTCGGTCATTGGTGATGCCAATTACGAGAAGGGGTTTCCCTTCATTGAGACAGCTGAGGTTTTGGACGAGATTGATGCCAACACGAAGTACGTTCGCCGAGTGGTGAACCTCACAATGTCGAGCGATACTGCGGTCGGCGGAGGCGTGATGAAGGAAGAGAGCTTGACGATCAACTATAAACGCGACAACGCAGACGGCACTTCATCGATGATCTCGCAGTCAGTTATGGATGATCCGAATCGCCCGAAGCTCGCTGGTCACTTTCGCCGCAACGCCACCACTGCGTACGTTCCTGTATCATTTGTTCATGTGCGTAGCTTTTGTTGTCATTGTCGTCGTCTAACGCGTGTCTGCATCGTTCGTTGGGTTTACAGGGTGTTCTTGAAGAATTTTAATGACTCGACTGGTCAAGGGTGCTTGCTGCTGTGGTCAGTAAAGGTTCAGCTAGACAAGGACCCCGAGGAGCGTGCGAAGAATTGCAACATTCCGGACATTATCCTGAAGAACCTATTTGAAGTTGCGCCGGTGTTTGTGAAAGGCGTAGTGGATCGTGCACGTGGAACTGTGCCTCAAGGTTAAGTCAATTTGCTTGTGGTAAACATTCCATCGAGACACTGTACATTGAGCTTGGTGCATCTCCTTGATCGTCAGGCCATCATAGAACCACCTGCCGCGAAACAAGCAACGGCATTGCATGTGAACAATCAATTCTGAATATCATCAACCAAGACGTGTCTTGGCCAGCGTGATACCAACAAACATGTTTTCACGGATCTGAGTCTACCGGTGACGCCTGTCACAGCGGCTATGGTCCCGTTCCCTGCTGCCTGCCCGACCACGACTGCGGCTGCGGTAACGTCGTCGGTCACCATCCCGACTCCGAGTAGTAGGACTTCGTTCACGTCGATCCCTCTTTTCGCGGCTTGGACTGCGACGGCGTCGCTCGCGACTTCGTTCACGTCGATCCCTCTTTTCGCGGCTTGGACTGCGACGGCGTCGCTCGCGACTTCGACTGCGTCGTTTGGATGGATCGGCCCACCCTGTTTCAGCATCAGGTGGTGATCGGCCGCTGTCTTGAGCTACAGAAGGTGTCGATGCCACCGCTTCGTCACGTGTCTTCTTCTCTGGTTCAGACACTGTCGACGAAATGGTAGCGCTTTGAGGCAGCTGGTAGATCGCACTGGAAGCAATCAACGTGTTAGCAGTAACGACACCATGGATGCTTGTTAATGTGGTGAATCGATTGCACCTGTAAGACTGCTGCAGTCGGGCGAGCGCGGCAGCCTCGCGCTCAGCCTTGGATGCTTTCACTTTCTAACAGCACAGAGAACAGCAACAGACCATGAGCGCGCGATGTGCCAGCAGAAAGCTTCTACCTTCTCCTTTTGCAACCCACGCACACCTTCTTCCGCACGCCAAAGTCATCGTAGCCATCCTCTCCGACCTCCTTCTTTGCCGACGCAACGCTTCACGAACAGAACAACCGCAAGCACACCACAGCAGCATCATCATCACAACGTCAGCTCGTTGACGCTGCCAACTAACGCCTCACTCACCGTTCTTGGCGCTCATTAAAGCCACCTCCTGCACCGTCGCGTCTCTCCTCCTAGCACCGTAGCAGCAACATGACACAATGGCGTCACCACCTGCAGCGAGGCTGCTTTCTATCACTTCTTCACACACAGGACGTACTAGTCCAGGCATCCCAGGCTTGGAGCTCTTGCACATATTGCACTCGGAGCGTCGCTCCCAATTGACATTGCCACACCTGCCACAACACGATGATCAAGTCACTGACCTCCACTTCCTACGTCCTCTTTGCACGGCCTGTCCAAGTGCAACATCGTACGTATTGCATGTCCAGTCTCCAGGCTGGAAAAGGCCAGGAGGACCCCGAAAGTCACTCCCGCCTTTTGACTTGGGCTTGTCACTACCACCAAGTCCTTCGGGTCGGGGAGTCTGGCACCGATTGCAGGCGCTGCGTCGCGCAAAGTTGATGTTGGAGCAGCTGCAGTAGATACGCACGGAGGAAGTTACGGCACGGTACCCGCTATTGACCGCAAGGTGAAGCAGAGGCGTACCCGGGATTAGGACAGGGCCAGTCACCGTCCGACATTTGAAAAGCTACGAAATGTATCGAGAGAGAAGAGGCAGAGACTGAGAGAGAGGTGCGCTCAGATCTGATTCCATTCAACGCTCTCGTTCGGTCGCTATCTCTACATCATCACAGCCTCCGTCTACTGACTGTACTCTCGTGGCCATCGTCGTCGTCGTCATCACCTCACACGACAGCAGTAGCAGCTTTTCGCAGATCTTCGTTCTCCGCCAACTTCTTTGCAGCTTCGGCAGCTTCTTGAGCGAGTTGCAGCACCAAAATCGTCGTCTCAATTGCCAGCAGCCGGTCGCTCGCGTCGCCAGCAATGACAAGCAGCTGAAATGCTATCTGCATCATCGCGAACCGACGACTGTCAAACTTGTACTGGATGCTCTCGATCTGCTTCTTGTTCAGCTTCTTGAGCACATAGGTTGAATAGTCCTTCACTGCCTTGAACTCCCGCGCCGTCACACGCACGTTCTCCGTTGCGCTAGGTGCCTTTTTGTACAACGTCGTTGTCGCTTCAGCTACCAGAACATCCAGCGCAATCACAAAAACACCCTGCACATAAGCAACGGCATCACAATCATCACAACTCTTGCATAAAGCAGTGCATTTGACCATCAAACGTCAAGAACAAAAGTCACCAGTCGCACCTTTAGGGCGTCTCCATCCAGACTTTCGAGCAGCTCTACGACACTATCGGTAGCGCGACTCGACTCGTCTTCATCCAGTCCCAATAGCATCGTGTATAAAGTCTCGCCCATCATCTTTTCAAACAACACAATGCCTTCATCTTCCAAGAGGGGATCGTGCGCGAGTGCGTCTTCTCCACCCGTCGTCGCTTGCACCTCAAACTCCTTCATGACGTTCTCAATCTTCAAGCTCTTGTCCGTCTCCAGCGCCTTCAACTCCTGCAACATAAACACGACAGAATAACAAAGACAGCAACAGCATCCGTCAGAAGCCACAGCTTCTACTAGTGCACAGACCGCACGCCTTCAAACAACATCTCAGTCGCCTCCATCACCTTTTCACCCGCAGCGAGATTCTGCTGCGCATGCAGCGGCGCAAGAGCCGTGCCAAAGCCGAAATAAGTGCAGAAAGGGCCGTTCAGGCTGCTGCATGTCGCTCCGTTGCCCGTTGTTGCATGCGCTGCCACCTCAGCAGCGGCGCAGACAGTTGCAACGACCGCCGTCTTCAGGCGCATGATCGACACTGACGCTTTTGTGTGATGCGTTTTTCTGCCGTGCAACATTCGCGCAACCTCATCATCCAAACCGCGTACCAACGGACAACATTCCACTGCCTCGAGGCCAATCAAAGCCACACCCACACGACGAAATCCTCATCATGACCAGCATGCGAGCGCTGCTCTTAACCTCGAGCGCCGTCAAGATCCACGTCAAACGGGCCAGTTGTTGCTGGGTGCGTGCGTCCTCGACGCTTGAGACACCTACCGCTGCTTCGAAGCGCTCGCCCACGGCGCTCGGCATTGCGCCTCGTCGCTCGAACGCTCCAGAGGTACGTCTACTAGTTGAGGATCTCGTGGCACTTGTAGCTTGAGCTTGTGGCTGATTAGTGACCGCGCACTTGTCTCTTTGTATGGTGTAAGTGCAGACTCCTATCGATATGAAGACGGCATTGGCCAAGTGCAAGGCTCAGAAAGCGCGCAACTTTGACGAGGTGGGGACCGCTGATGCAACTAAGTTATTGGATAATCGACTGATTGACTGACTCATTCAATGGCTGTTTCTGCTGCTGCTGCTGCTGTGGTAGACCATTGATGTTGCGATTCAATTGGGTGTCGACCCGCGCAAGCCGAACCAGAGCGTTCGTGGCGTAGTGAGTTTGCCAAATGGGACGGGCAAGCAGGTGCGCATTGCCGTGTTCGCTCGCGGCGCTAAGGCGGAAGAAGCCAAAGCTGCTGGTGCTACTATTGTGGGTGCCGAGGATCTCGTTGAGCAAGTGCAGAGTGGAAAGATCGAGTTCGATCGCTGTATCGCGACACCCGATGTGATGCCGCTGGTGGGGCGCGTGGCCCGGATTCTTGGCCCTCGTGGTCTGATGCCGAACCCGAAGCTGGGCACAGTGACGCAAGAAGTTGGCGATGCAATTGCTGCTGCTCGTGGCGGCCAAGTAGAGTTCCGTGCGGAGAAGAAGGGGATTATCCACGCTGGCGTGGGCAAAATGAGCTTTTCGGAAGAGGCCCTGCTGGAGAACGTGCGAGCGTTCATGGTTGCGCTTAGCGATGCCAAGCCGGAAGGTGCCAAGGGCAAGTACATTAAGGTACGGTGCCTACATCGTGTTTGGTGTGTAGAGACTGGAAGTGGCAACTATGCTGACGACTATGACGGTATGTTGTAGGCCGCTCACCTGAGCTCTTCGATGGGTCCAAGTTACACTTTAGACATCAAGTACTTGGATCCGGCCTCGACGTCTTTCATGCGCTTCGAGTGAGAGCGCGTTTTTGCTTTTTGTAAAAAACGAACGTAGTGCTGCCAGATCTAGAAACGAAGCGACGGGTCTTTTCTTCGTGCTCCCGAAAAAAAGCGCTTTGTTCTCATTCCCTCTTTGAATCAATTTGCGGTCGGCGATCGACTTATGCGAGGCAAACACATGACCGACGAACTGCGGTATTACGTGCGCTCGGAGCGCCATTTGCAGGCGCTACAGACGTGGCTAGACGGTGCGCATCCGTCGTATCCTGTCTCTGTTACTTCCGAAGGCCCGGACGTGGTGCCGCGCAAGCTTTTCCCGCTGTTAAAGACGCAGGAACTGGGCCACGTCGTGCTCTACGGCCCCACGCTGGGATCGACGCAGACGCTGCTGCGCGAGACGCTCAAGCCCGCGGCTCCTGCGGGTCTCGTGTGTTATGCAAAGCTTCAGTCCAGAGGCAAGGGACGGGGCGCAAACTCGTGGTCGTCACCGGAAGGGTGTCTCACGTATTCTTTTCAGAGCGCTTTCGTGGACGGCAATACACTGCCCTTCGTGCAGTATCTCGTGTCGCTGGCTGTGGTCAAGGCTGTAGAGACGGTGCATACTGAAGCAGCTGGAAGTGGCAGTGGTGCTGGTGCTGCGAGGATCAAGTGGCCCAATGACATTTATGCTCATCAGGTCAAGATTGGAGGCATTTTGTGCCAGTCTGAATACTGCAATGGCAAATTCAGTGTCACAACTGGTGCGTTGTAACCAGTGACTTGACCGAACGATTGTTCAGGGAAGTGTGGTATACTGATGTTTGCTGTGCAGGTGTTGGTATCAACATTTCGAACCGGTCGCCGACGACTTGTCTGCAGGACGTCTTGGGCACGGACGAGCAGCCTTGCACTGTCACGAAGTAAGGTGTTGCACGAGCCGAACTCTGCGATGTTGCGTTTAATTTTGCTGACAATGTGATGCAGGGAAGAGTTCTTGGCGGCCTTCTGCAACGTGTATGAGCCTATGGAGAAGTTGTTTGTTGAAAAGGGATTTGAGCCATTTATGACGGACTATTTGGCGCGGTGGCTGCACACGGATCAAGTGGTGCAAGTCGCAAGCGCTAGCGATGCAAGTGGTGAGAAGGTGCCTGCAGTGATCAAGGGCCTTACCAGTACGGGCTGCCTTTTGGCACAGGGGGACGATGGCTCACAGCTAGAGCTTTATCCGGACGGAAACTCGTTCGACTTCCTCGCTGGCTTGCTGAAGCGCAAGTTATAGGGGTAGGTAGACAAGCGTCCGAGGAGGAAGTGGAGGTTGATCATGTGAGTGTGGCTACAATCTGACATTTGCTCATGTATCCGATGATGACTAGGATCCTCGTATGTCTTCTGTGAGAGTGCCAGCCTTTGTTTTTTGTGCGATGTTTCCAGACGCAATTCCTCAGCTCAAGCCATGGTCTTTGCAATTCACATATACCCCGCATTTACCATGGTCCAGACCAGAGAAGACGCATGCGAAGCGAATTGTCGAGGTCTTTCCCACCAAGCAACTTTCAATTCTATCCATGTCTATCACGACTCACATATTCGCAACGTGTTTGTTCTTACGTGGCTGAAGACTCATTTGACAGACTTGTTCGTACACACGTATGGCACCCATCTCAGCTGCGAGGTGCGCATCTTCTCTTCACTTGGGCTCCAGGGACCCATCCGTCGTTGCAATCGCCGTCCCACGACGCTTCCTACGGCACCATCGCCGTTCCCGGGGTCTGTTTTGCCCCTTCGTCGTGCGTCTCACGCTAAACATGCACATCGCCCGACAAAGAGGCTAACGCTCAAGCGTAGCGTGCTCGACGAGAGTGCTGAGCTCAAACGCCTGCTGCACGTACGAGTTGCTCGACGTCATCTTTATATGCAACATCTCTTCTTCCATCGATGAAAGCAGCAGTACGAGCTTCTCGTAGTCGCCTTGACAATGACTATGCAGACTTCGCATAATTCGTTCGCGCGTTTGAGCACGATCCCGCGGCAACAGCTCTTGGCGCCATTGTGAAGAGACGCGACGCACGAGACGAGGGCGCTTATACGCAGTTGCAGAAATCTCAGCCTGTTCCCACGCGGGAGAAGAAGGAGATGCGCGACGCTTGTGAGTGCTGTGCGACGGGAAAGTCGCTGTCGGGTCCGGCAAGAGAAAGCTGTGTCTTCGCATCAAGGATGTGGTAGGCAGTATCTGGGTGATCCCACCAGTGAATGTGGCAGTGCGTCTTGGACTCGCCGTGGGGTCCATTCGCTCTTTGAATCGACTCTTTTCCCACATGGAACAAGGAGAATTTACGTGTTCCGGCACCTGGGACGAGCAGCATTTGTTCGATCGACCGAGCAAGGTCACGAGCGATGGAGCCTTTTCTTCTTTACAGTCAAGGTTACTGCTGTCAACAGCAACTGTGAGCTGCTCCATTGTCGCGGGATGCATCGCATTAGCAGCGGCTTCGAGCGACATGACAGGACGCGGGTTCCCTGGCATTTGCTGCCGATGCCGCAGTAGCTCACGCTGATCCAGCAATGGCATCTGCTTGTCTGCGTGGTTTGCCAGCATCCCCAGCAGACCGTCAGCGGCAGCGTCGGTCGAGTACACAGCACGACTGGGCAGCAACTGTCGTTTCCGTGGGGTATCGCATCCGTCTCCTGGCTCTGGACTGCACTCGCGGCTCTTTGCCACGCTGTGGCACATTGACAGAAAAACAACAGCAAGAAAGGTGAGACTGGCTAAAGTGATAAGGAAGCAAGGGATACGAGGGTTTACCGGTGCTGTTGCTGTTGCGGCTGCTGCATCACACGCAAAAAGAGGATTCTGCAAGGTGTCGGATCGAGAAATACAGCGCAGGTTCCCATTGGCCAGGAGAACTAGCACATGAGAAAGGCGGGTCCCTCGAGAGTGAGTAGTGGTTCTCTATGCCAGTGCATGATCGTGTGTGTGTAGCAACTTGTTAGAAAAGCGCGTGGCTGGTTCTCCATCCGGTAAAGTGGAACAAGTCGGAGGCTGCGGCAGTTGGTGGGTAGAGCGAGTCTGTATTGCATTTGCAAGCGGGTGATTAAGGCGACTGTACTAGATTCTCGTCCCCTTTGTGCACGCTCAGAATTTCGAACACATCGGGTCTGCGGGATCTTGTCGGCCGATGTAGGTCACACTCGTAATCAAACGGGCACGGCTCTTTTTGTAAATCGAGCCAGTTAGATTCGATCTCTGTGAAGAGAAGCATTCAGACCATGAGCGACCGAAACAGCCGGAATGCAAGAACCTTCGCTCGAGTTGTATAGTCGACACCAAGGGATAGGACGAATGCTGCGTCAGAGCTAGAAATGCCAAGATGCGGATGCTTTTTGGCGATATTTTAGCGGCACTTGGTCGATGACCCCGTCACTCACTTGAAAAAGTCAGTTATTTGGACGCTACGGTGGACCGAGAAGCAGTCGGTTCGTCCGCCTTTATGGCGCTTGAAGACAAGGAGCGACGCTTCGCGCTCAATCCAAGCGATACTGCAGGAAAGCGGAACCAGCTCCCTCAAAAGTTGGACTGCTCCGACTCTGCACCAGACTGACCTTTCGCCTGACGAACCCCTCGGTCGACTTGTCGCCTTCAAACGAGCCGTGAGCGCGCGTTGACAACCAGGGTGATGTCGTATGATCGTAGCTTATCACTACTCGGTGCCTACCTTTACGGTCAGCGCTCAGTGCGGCGCGCAGGCGGGTACGTCTATGACTTCGCTATCATGCCATGATGTTATAGCTAACGCCAACGAATCTGAGGGCGTAATTGATAACGGCAGTCTCCGTGTGGAACCGCACTTTCAGTTACGTCCGCATTAGCTCACAAGTCAGACGCGAACAGCACCGCCCTGCTGAATCTTTTCACAGTACGGATTTTGTACAGCCAGCAAAATCTGATGTCATGTGTAACATTCCTCGACTTTGCCTCGTCTGTGATGAAATGAATATGCAGTGACAGCTGGTCACGCGGATCGCGGAAGCGCGACTGATTTCCTGGAGATATTCCGCCCTCGAGCTTCGAAAGTCTCTTTATGTTGCGGAAGGATCGAAGGTCTCAAACGTAACGCAAGAAAGTCTATTCGTCCTTGGGCTCGGATACTGCTGTGACTTGTAAGCTCGTACTTAAGTGACATCCGGTTATCAATCCAGTCAAATCGACAACAGGTGCGCGTTGACAAGGCTGGACGGCCTCTTTCCTAGTATCCTGCTAATCCAGCTGCATGATATGTTCTTCTGTTCTGCGCTAATGGGCTCGTAACGCAGTTCGCATCAGCAGCTGCGTCCTTCGTGAGAATAGGTCAGTCTCCGTGCGGACAGATTTTTCGACCTGCTTGAAAATAATGGTACACAGTCAGGGATGGCTTACAGACCTTACTTTACTAAATGAACAACCGTTGCTACCTCAAGTTGGACGCATGGCTGCAATGACTGCAAATATACCGACAGCAAGATCTGCTGTTTAGTAGTGTGTTCGACGTGTAAGAAGCTAGATTCCCGTCAACGTGTCACTCATGTCACAAGACTCTCACTGCTTCATTATACTGTCGATAGACGCTGCACAAGATATATATCGAGGCCTCTCTGGCACAGTAGACACGTGCTGGGCTCGGGGCGACTATGCCTTTGCAGATACGCTGCGTCTCGACAAGGTGTCAGAGACAGTCTACAGATACATGGTGCTGTTCATCAATCCGACTGCGCTATGACGAGTACCATGAGGTGTCCAAGACTGAGACAGCATGTGTACAAGCGGATTGAGGGATTTGGGAAGCTCGTCGTCTTGGCAACGAAAATACTGGGTACTGCAGACAAAGAACTAAGTCGGCAGCGTAACAAGACACAATTGATATCGCGAGTTGGTTGTCTTTCGCTATGAGCTCTTGTTGCTCACGCGTGCGTTAGTCTGTGTTTCGTCTCGGCGAACGAGATTATACGACATGGCACCTCGATTCACGTTCTTTTAAGAACGAGCACATGACTGATACATTATCAGTCATGATGAACGGTGCTTGCGATGGATGCCACATTCATCCAAGCAACACGACTCAGCGGAAAAAGTGGACCAAGAACGCAGACATCGAGTGGAGACGACTTGAAATGTAAACCCTCGGCTGCCAAAGGTGGTATCGTTTACCCTTGTACGACGATGCCCTACAGCCCCAAGAGCGCGTCCCGGTTGTCGATAAAACCAAAAATTGCGAGCGGAGTGCACCATGGTCAAGGATCGGATCCTCATGTATCTTATCTGAACATTCGTCACAGCACGAATAGCAAGGCTGTTGCCAGCAAAATCTCTACCATCAACATGGTGGAGCCAAAAGACTTTGCCTTTGCTCAATCCACCTCCGCGACAGTTACTCGTGCTCTGCAAAAAGTTCGGCTCTTTTGGCGGTTTTACGGCGTGGACAACGCATAATGCACTTGCCGTAAGTCACCTGCTTCCCATCAACACACACAACTGCTACTGCTACCAAAATCACCGTCGACGAACTCCATACAATGCTGCGTACAGAGTTGATCCGTGTGACGTTTGACACGCAAGGTATAAATGCTTTTATGCGACCGTGACGGATGAAGGTTGCTGATATCTACAAGAACTAGGACTACCGTGTGCCACTGCAACACGGAAAGATAGCGATGGCAGTACAGGTAGATCTACTACGTGCAAATAGCCGTTTAGCCATCAGCCGTCCCTAAAGCAAGATGTTCAATGATAGAGAGGGTATTGTGCTGTGCAAAGGCTTCTCTGTTGACGTTCATGCACTTTGACGTGATGTAAGTGTATGTCAAGCATTTTCCAGCTGGACACCATGACGCCGCAGAAAGGTCGCAGCAGGTCAACTGGTAGTACAAATTCACAAGTTTACGAAATCGAAGTGTGGTTTGTACGACCGGAAACTAGTCCACTCGTCATGCGACAGCCATGAGCAGTTCGTCGTACAAGGTACACAAAGTACACACCACATTCACCTTTTTTACGATTAGCTCACACCCATTTTGGCGCCCCGTTCTACCGTGGGAAGAGGAGCGCGGGACGGACGCTACAATGGGCATCACTGGCCTCCTGCCGTTGCTCAAGAGCATCACTGAGACCAGATCTATCGAGGAATACAGAGGACGCACCCTTGCGATCGACGGCTACTGCTGGTGCGTCGTGAATTGAATATAATCGTCGATCAAAATAGGCATATCACATAACTTGTCTGTCTTTTTGTGCTCAAATGTACCCATCAGGCTCCATCGTGCCATCTACTCTTGCAGCCAAGAGATCTGTCTTGGCCAGAACACTGATAAGTGCGGATACTGATGGCGTTTGCCCATCTATCACGATATAACTGACCTCTATTGATTTTGTGTGGAATTTGTGGTGCAGATATGTAACGTACTTTATGGATCGACTGGCTGCGCTGCAGCACTATGGCGTGACTCCTTACGTTGTGTTCGACGGGGGCCCTCTCCCTATGAAAAGAGGCACGGAGGAAGAGCGACGCAAGCTGAGACAGAAGAATCGGGAGCTCGGAATCGAACATTACGACAACAAACGCTTTCGTGAAGCTCGCAAGTGCTTTATTCGCGCTGCAGATGTCTCTCCCTATATGGCTCATCGAGTTATCCAGGTAAGCGTCAGCGTGCAGCGCTGCTAAAACGTCGGTTTATTTGTGTTTTGTGGGACCGCTGTTTTTTTCTGATGTCATTTACTTATGTGCATAGCGTCTGAAAGCACAGAATGTACTCTACGTCGTAGCTCCGTACGAAGCAGACGCACAACTGGCGTATCTGGTGAAGAACGGACTTGCAGATGGCGTCATTAGCGAGGACTCGGACTGTCTTCCATTTGGATGTCAAACTGTTCTGTTTAAGATGGATCGGGACAACGCGGCACAGGAAATTCAGATGGTCAACCTTAAGAAAAACAAGGGTCTGAGCTTTCACATGTTTACTGAGCAGATGGTGCGTTTGGGTCGGTGCGTTTGTCGGCTAAGACTACTAGACGTTTCATAACCTGTGTATATGTTTGCTTGCCCCTGGCAGTTCCTCGAGATGTGTATTTTTTCAGGGTGTGATTATCTACCAAGTATTCCTGGCTTTGGAATAAAAAGGGCATATACGGCAATGAAGCAGCACGGTTCTTTCGCAAAGGTCTATCGTGAAAAGACGAGCATACTGCGTCAATCTGTCTTTCGGATCCTGACTTCGTTGCTTTCTTCCAGATCATTCGTGCGTTGCGTCTTGAAGGTAAGGTGCGAATTCCTGCGACCTACGAAGACGACTTTGCGAAGGCAGTCTTGACTTTCCGACATCAGCGCGTATATTGTCCCGAGAAAAAGGTTTGCAACGAGCTCGAGTTTTGTATGGTTGATGAGAGGCTGTCAAGGTTCTGACTTGTTCAGGATACCGTTGTTTGTCTCTTCAACAGGAACTGGTTCCTCTTACACCGATTCCGTCGAATCTTTTAGCAAGTGACCCTACAATGGATTTCGTGGGACCAGTACTACCTAGCGACCTTGCAACGGAAATTGCCAATGGAGATGTGGATCCTATCACTATGAAGCGATTTCGCACACAGGTACTACTTCCAAGCAACACGTCGTTCCAGTCAAGTCCTGACGAGTCCGTAGTCCAAAAACCTGCAGCACCTCTTGTCGCACCAAAAGCAGACATCACACCATCCATCCATGCTTCCAAGTTGGCCGCAGTGGCTGCACCCAATGCTTCTAGTTTGTGTCCAGCTGACGTACGAAGAAAAATGCCAGTGTCGTTCAGGAATACGAACAAGGTGACGCCCGCAGCTGCGTTGCCCACGACGAAAAGCTCGCAAAGCTTGACAGTCGATTCAGCTGCTGATACCATGGCGGCTACTCCGCTTCTGACTAGCCGCTTTTTTGAGAAGAAGAGTTTCAAAAAGATGTCACCGCTTCATGGCTCTGTGACATCGGGTCTACCTCGTTCGATGGATGGATCATCGTATCAAAGTCAGGAGACGTGTAAGATTGACTTATCAAAGGACGTCACTTTTGACCCGCAGAGTGACGAGAGCAGAGTATTACACACTCTTCGAGTCGACGGGGTTTCTAAAGAGAACCGAGCGCCGAATCTTCTCGAAGCAGTGCAAAATGTCCCGTCGGTAGCGAAGGAAACAGCTTTTTCACGGATGATGCGTGCTGGCTCGATGCTTCAGCAACATAAAGTGAAGAAACGAAAGACGCATGGCGCAGGAGTTCGCAGCGGAAAATTACACATCACGCATCAAGCTCATACTTCTGGTCAAATTGAACGATTTGTGTTTCCAAACAAAGACAAGTCGGGTGAAGCTGAGAAGAACCTTGACATAATTTCCAAGGTGCCACGCGAACTACCCACGACTACGTTGAACGATGACCGCAAAGAAGATAATACTTGTACACCTGCTACCTCGACCGAAAGTTGCGTCGATGTCGTTCGCAAAGCCACAGTGAGTACATTCGGCCAGCGACGCGCAGTTGGTACATTAAAGATCGCCACAGGTAGGTCATTGGCGCCCCTCGCATCATTCGATCGGTTCCGCTTCAAGTACTAGAACTTTTTCATTGTCCCTTGAGCGTTGGTTGCATTGTATATTTTTTCGTCCCATGATCGATATTCTACATCGAAGAGATTTCGCGTTTGCACAGTGGACAACTGTTGTTCTCGCGAATCCAGCTATCGACGCAATCTATAAGATAATCACGAACAGTCAAGACGTGTCCAGTTGTCTAAACAAAATGAGTTACCTTCATGGAATACATGAGCACACGGAAGGGTCATGGCACGATCGTTTGGCATGAAATTATACTGGCAAACGATACACCTGCGCGATCATATCGATCAGCAACAACCTTAAACAGTAATGCACAGAAAACGTACGTGTGTTTTTCGCCATGGCTGTCGGTCCATTGATGGGTCGGTAGACCCGAAATGACTTGAACCGCTATTTGCCGCCATCTTTCCTGCTTCACGTCTCCGACCTCTTCTCCGAGCCTCAACAGTTCCTCGTAGGTCATATTGTCCGGATCAATGTTGCGCTGATGGTTCAGTATACCTGAGACTACTGAACCAAAGTGCTCACGAGATCGCTGGTTGTATACTTGACCTGCAGACGCCTGGAGTAAGCGAGCTTCGTGCTCTTCGTATGCCGCAATGTTCTGATTAGTGTGCATACGATCATTAGTTGCTCCAATGTCAACTAATCAGCCGTGTTTTCAACCTACCTCCTGTTGTTGCAGATACCGTGCCAAAGCCAGCGAAGCCTCTTCATCGCTCTGAGCTCCAGGACGCGATACAGACGACGAAGTAGCTAGTGGCAAAAACGAGGGCGTTGTCGGAACTAATGATGAATTCACCACGGGGGACGATACGGAGGGAATTGGTAGCTCATGATGATGTGTCCGAGGCTCTACTTCCTGTTCCGATTCCAGTCCATAAGCAAATGTAGCAGTCCGTTCTGGCGATCGATCGTACGAACGAAGTCGTGGACGGGTTCGTGTGCGATGCTCTCCACGACCCGTTGTCGTGAAACGTGCTTGCGGAGAGCCGTACAACCTGACTCGACGATCCAATTGTAAATCTTGCTGCTGCATCCGTCGCAATGGACTTGGTACTACGCGATTGGAATCGGGAAGGCCTGATGGAAGTGCGAAGTCCAAATGCAGACGTCTCCGAGACGTAAGGGTTGAGAACAATGTGTTCATATTGCGTCGCCTGCTTGTCCTTTCCACACTCTCCTCCTCCGCCTCTCTCTCTTCCGCCTTTTGCTCTTCTTGGTCCTCACTAGTACAGACTTCGTCAGCTGATGGTCTCGGAGACCCGAGCAACGAGCTCGGACTTTCACCGCAGAAATCCTCTCTCGACAAACGAGCCGACCGCGAGTCTCGTAATCCTCCAGAGTTTCCACTTTGCGGTGCATCGTTGCATCTCGTAGCAGAATCCGATCCAGGGCGTGGACTCGTGAGATCAATGACTGCAAACTGAACGAGTAACAATCGACTTTTAGCGCGTCTGTCCTTCCATTGCAAGTGGCACCTTGAAACGCAAAGTGTACCGGTGACATGTGCGAGCTTGGTACCGCCTCGCTACTGCTAGATGTCTCCGACTGGACAGCTGGGACGTCAATTGCATTGTAATTTTTCTATCAGCAGCAACAAATTCATCAAAAACCTGCACGCTTTCAAAGGAATATTTTGGGTGACGCACCTCACGCGACTTCATGACCAAACGACTGTGCGATCGCTCCAGCCGCACGTAGCGCCGTTTCAATCGCGCGTACTTCTTCTCAAGCACTTCGTGCTGCTGTCGCTCGTGCTCAAAGGCGATTTCCATGGCGCGTAGACGACGCTCCGTGTCCACTTCATTCCGATCCATTGACGACACTGGAGTTTAATTATTTATTGATTTGGCACAAGCTGAGTGATTGATGAAAACAATGGTCGTACACTGAATTATTCGAGTGAATTTCAAATGTCACATTGGCGTGCGATTGTACTGAAAGATGGTATGACTGGCCGAGTTTTACATAAAAGGGCACGGTAGAAGCGCTAAAAACCGGTGATAAGAATGGGCAGCAAGCTCCGGAGATCGCTTTTGATAAAAGTAGTCCAGTCCGTAGAACTAAATCTAGTCGCAAAACATTTATAGAACAGGGTCACTGAAGAATGAGCATGATGCTTTGAATGTTGCATTAATTTAATACAGTACTTGGGCAACGCGATCGGCCTTTGCTTATGAGCGTAAGCATTTGCCTATGTGATCATGTTCACATTTGATCGATTTTAAGCCAATCACGTGCGTGCATTACAAAAATGACAAAGCCAAAGAGTGACTTTAGATGAGCTAAGGTACTTTTTTTCTTTTTTAAGCGGCTGTATTGACTTAGCCTTATGAGTTCTCAACTACGTACAAAACTAGGGATACAGATATTGGTGCAACGGACGCGTTGAGTCCAGGTAAGCTCTGGCGGTAAAACTTGTGACCGTCAAATACGGCTCAAAGTGAGCACCCAAAAATGCCACGAAGAATATGAGTGGGAACTAGCTTGCTAACATCACGTGTAGCGAGTAGACGCGGAAATCGACGCAAGACGACCCCACCAGTTCGGTCGGTACGTAATGTATCGACTATCTGATCAAGATAGGGAGCTGGTACAGATCCCTTGCGACGGATGAAACGAAGATGGGCAGTAAAGGTGGTAAACGTGCTGGGTCAGCGAGTGAGGCCGACGGTGCTCGAATACGATGGCGTTACGCTGGCTCCAAAGCTGATGGAGCACTATAGCTCAAAATACGTACCAAATCACTCGTAAGGCTTCAGGGCCAATATCACGGAAACAATTTACCAGGATGGTGGCGGGGTGAACGACATGCAACCAAGCCACAGACATACCGATCCATGTAAACCAGGCACGACTGAAAAGGGCCCAAAGTTGGGTCGCTGGTGCACATTCGAAAAGAAGGTGACGGTCCGTCCTGACGGCAACAGTGCATACCTCATACGGGCAACGCATAACGTCCGGAAGAGATCTTTGCAGAAAAAAAAACGCGATCCGACGGACAACAGGTGAAACATTAGTCGAAACTGGAGGTCTTGCAGAACTAAAGGCAAGTTGGCAGATCTTTCACAGTCAAAATCGACAACCTTCATCCCCACATCTGGATCAGTGGAGTCGACAAAACTGGTGATAAGGTAAATAAGCCGCCGTGGTAGAAAATGTCCCTAAATAACAGCTTGCAAAGCTGCATTAGGAAGATAAGGAGCCATTTGAGGGTGGTTGCCTCGCCAGATTTCGACAGAAAAGATGGTCGATCCACAGCAACAGGAACGCATAGAGTTTAATGCCACGGTAGGAGCAGTAACTTTGTTATAAATTTGGGCCAATTCATCATTAAGAGCTCGCATCCACTTGCGCTGGTGGGAGACAGAAAGAGTCACTCCATCCGGCTGAAGAAATCTGACCTCGAAGTTGGAGAGTGAGGGAAAACGATTCAAACCAGGCAAAAAATCGGCTAAACAGCGAAGACCGTGCCGTTCTGCAAGCGATAATTGAAAGTGACGGGAAGGTCCAACAATTATACTGGTACCTCGCGGACGAATACCCGAATACACTTAAATGAAACGGTCAAGGGATAACAAATTGCCTGGGTCAATACATGTAAGTCCCTGATGGCCGGATGCAAGTCCGCAATCATTACCGGCCACGAAGTAGCCGAACAAAAAATCACGATGGACGCCACCAAAGAGGAAGTAATCGCAAATTAATGAAGGAACGGTGTCGATGAAACGACATGTTAAAAAGATCCCATAAACGAAGAAATGTCGAAGTGGCAAAGCTACAGCAAGGAGAATGACTGCAGGTGATGACCAATCTAGTGTAGTTGATGTTGTCATCGACGTCACGTACTGTTGAGTAATAGAAATGCGCTGTCGCCGAAGATGCACAGCCCGCTGAGGGATACGTAGACCACCGTGACTCGTAGAAATGAAGCTAAACTCACGCGACATGAGGCGTATAGACGTATCCTCGGTATCAATGCGTCGATGTAGCACACATTTTTCTGTAGCCGCTGCCAGCGTCGGACAGTCGGCTGGGGCACTTCAAAAAGTTATGTGAAATACCACAAGGTCAAAAAAATCACGGAAGTAGCAAGTGTCAAACTCCCAATAAGAATACGAGCGCGATATCGCCAAAACCTCAGGAGATCAATAAGACGTTTATCTGCGAGGTACCGTGCAGTTGAATCGCGTCGACCAAAAAAATCCAAGAAACTTAACATCATCCTGCGGCTCGAGGCCTTGTATACCAGCAATATGGAACGGCTCCCGTGAACGATTAAGCGTAAGAGTCCTATACTTGGATATTGAGTAGGGCCCCCGAACCCGGACGGTAAATTTAGACAAACTGGAGCTGGTCTACAGCGGTAGCAGGAGATTATGCCAGTAAAGTGGAATCGTCTGCAAAATAAAGACCAGTCAACCGCATGACAGGGGTTACGGGTATTCCAGGGTCTGGACGAGACCGCAACAGATTACCCAATGGCTCAATACACAACAGGAACAGGAAAACAGATAGGGGGTCACCTTGTTTGATCCCCGAGATGTGTTTAGATACTTACGAGAAGGAGGGGACAGGCTAGATCGCACTTGGTACGTGTAAGCTACACCTGATCGCGTTGTTCATTTACTTACGAACACAGACACATACACACAAAACTAAGCACGATCAAAAGTTCAGCATTCGACCTTGCGTACACTCAATATTAGCTTCACCCTTCGGGCTCGCAACAAAAACAGTCATTCCTCGTATTTCTCATAGGCTTGGTGGAGACAAATTTTAAGAATTAGCCGAGTTGTTAGCCACGAAAATTTCTACATTACGAATTTTTGTTTTTTTAAAAAGGAACTTTAATAAATTAGTAGTTTATCTTTTAGAATTCATGTAAACATCTCCCGATTACTGTCACCAACGCAGAAAGGCCCAAAATTTGTAAAACCAGGATCTACAGCATAAAGAATGAGCCAGTTCGTACTGGAAAAATTGGGCCTTTAGCAAGCTGTAGTCCAGATCACCCAGAATGTCATTGTTCTGGTAATCAAGAAGTGCACAAATCTAGAATGTAACAAGAATAACGAAACTCTCGTCAAAAGCCAGGCTATCGCTCATAAATTAAAAACGAAAGAATTTGGATGCCTTCATGCCGAACAAGAAATATTTACCTGTAAAGTAAACCATCGAAGTCAAGGCTTTGTTGGTTTATGAGCGCCTTTGACTGCCTGAGGAAACCATTAAGTTCTCCAGTGGATAGTCACAACTCCAGAAGAAGTAATACAAGCTGTATAGCATCAGGAATACAGGTGTGAGTGGTTAAGCAAACGAGGAATCTATGGATGCAGCATAGCCTGGACTTTGGGCTTTGAGCCCGAAGATGTTTACAATACGGACGAAAATATTGTTTATTAACTAATAAATTGAAAAAGTGGCTGATGTCGTACGATACAGGAATGGCACATGCCTAATTGTATCATGTTTAAGAGAGAACAGTTGCGTGGAAAGAGATTGGGTATTATAAGTAAGAAAAGAAGACGGTCAGAGCTGATTTATTTCCTAGCAAAATTTACACAGCTTGGGCATTTTTAGTTCAATAACAGTGTACTAACCTACTTTATTTAGGTACGTATCTCCACATCCATCACGACCAAAGCGGATGGTATTCGAGGTATCCACCCGTACGGCTGCAACCACTTAGACATTTAGTCCTCCTCAATTGTGCATTGTTTGGTACTAGAATTCGGTTTTCATTGCTCTATAGCATTCTCAAATGAAAAATGATCCCTCGGAAAACTCGTAAAATTTCGATAGTTATTAGTTACTAGATATGCGTAAGCGACCATAAATGAGCATGGTAGAACGCAATTCGTTTACAATACATGAGTGTTTGTTATGAGAATATTCTCTAATTGAGGACTGACTGTTCTGCCAAAGTTTTGATGACCTGAAGGAAATTGTTCATTCTACTCACCGTTCAAGGTAATTAATAGGCTAAGCGTAATAGAAAGGACTTTTCCTTGAATTTGAGGAGTCGCTAATGAGCCTTCGGTTTTCGCTAATGAGTTATCCCTTAAAATGAACAAGCAATTGTAAATGGAGGCCCCTCAGTGGCCTTTTTCGTACGTTAAAGAAATAACGTCCATGAATTCCATTTTACCTACTATATTGTGTCGCTTATAGTCCTCCTTATACGACAGCAGCTCACAGGAAGGCTGTTTTATTATGTGGACGAAGGTCGTCACGCTCTTGACAAGCTGACACTTCTGAAGGCAATGATACAACAATTAAAATGGAAACTAATGTTGAGTCTGCGCAAGCACGTTGAGGTTTAATCAGCGAATCTACAATGCCCGTGTAACGGCCACCGCCTTCTTCTAGTAAAATATAAGTACAGTGACTTTAAGTCAGCGTATACTGTAGTGTCAGACTCGTACAAATCAAAAACAAAATCGTTTAAGTCATTATGTCGCAAACTTGTGCTACTCTAAGCCTAACGATTACTTTAGTGGATTATTATGAAGACGGCAGTGATCACGTAAACAGGCATCGTCCGTTGGCTGTCGGCACGCGTCTGCACGATAACGATTTTTAACAGTAAAATTCGTTCATCGTCGTGAGCCGGCGCGTCGCACCCTACATCCTCCCTGAAAGGAAGTTGTATTGGCAGATTTTGAAGCTAGGTCCCGCCAATGCGCCATATACCTTTTTTTTGCCGGGTACACTTATGCTCCAGAAGTCCCGTGCCACTTCACGGGCCACTCAGACTGTCTGTTTCAGACACGCGTTTTGACCGGCGCTTCGACGATGTGCAACTCACTGTCAG